TATTGGTGTAGTCTCCCACTCGTATCTCTATATCCTGGACTGGCTGGTGACCTGGAGAGACAAGACAGCAGGTCAGAGGTCACAGTGTGACCTAGAGAGACAGGATTACAGGTCACAGGTTACCTTGCTTCAGTGGACGAGACAGAAAGTGGAATTGAATAATGAATTGTCTCTAAAATTGAATATAGGTCATAAGTTGCCTTGCTATCTCTCTCTTTCTCACTCTCTGGATTTCTATAACCCTATAACTGCTTCTATATCTCTCTAATCACTTCTATAACTTGCCACAACATTTGACTGGCTGCTCTGGTTTAAAGTCTATCTACTACACCAGGGTCATTAAGGCTGCAGGTCACCTGGTCACCACCAGTCAAGAATACTTTAATACCTAAAATACTGATTAATGTAAACTACCAGTGTATATACACTGAGATATACACCTCTCAGTGTATATTCGCTTGTCCCCTTGTGATCTTAAGAAAATGGTGCTGTATCTATGTTAGAAGGTCACAGACCAACACTGGGACCACTCTGAACTGAGAATAGAGACCATACCCTAGTTTATAACCACAGCAACCACACCTACAACCACAGCACTAACCTAATGTGACCTGGTCTCAGACCAAGCCGCAGGGGCGCTGACCCCCAAAAGGCTTCTCCAGGTAACCCCAACAACCACTCACCACAGCATCCCCTGGTAGTGATCTTGACCAGGGTGACCTCGTACTCCTGAAGAAGGTCCACAGACCACCACGGTGAGGACTCCACCAGTGTCTCAGTACAGTGTTGACCATCATGTATTGATGTCACTAACCCATCATTAGCATTTTCACCCTTACCACCCCTGGCTGTTGATGACTGATTGACTGGCTTCTTCCAGGCGACGTTAGTGGCTGTGGGAGAGACATCAATATACATCAGTGTTAATATGTATCAATAAACAGAAAGATAGACCAGGGGATCAAACCTTGGTCCAATATATGTAAGTTCCCAAACACACACACATCTATGTTTGAAGGTTGGTTAATGGGGTTTAAAGTCTATCTACTACACCAGGGTCATTAAGACTGGTTGGTTGGTTAATGGGGTTTAAAGTCTATCTACTACACCAGGGTCATTAAGGCTGGTTGGTTGGTTAATGGGGTTTAAAGTCTATCAACTACACCAGGGTCATTAAGACTGGTTGGTTGGTTAATGGGGTTTAAAGTCTATCAACTACACCAGGGTCATTAAGACTGGTTGGTTGGTTAATGGGGTTTAAAGTCTATCTACTACACCAGGGTCATTAAGACTGGTTGGTTGGTTAATGGGGTTTAAAGTCTATCTACTACACCAGGGTCATTAAGACTGGTTGGTTGGTTAATGGGGTTTAAAATCTATCTACTACACCAGGGTCATTAAGACTGGTTGGTTGGTTAATGGGGTTTAAAGTCTATCTACTACACCAGGGTCATTAAGGCTGGTTGGTTGGTTAATGGGGTTTAAAGTCTATCTACTACACCAGGGTCATTAAGACTGGTTGGTTTGTTAATGGGGTTTAAAGTCTATCTACTACACCAGGGTCATTAAGACTGGTTGGTTGGTTAATGGGGTTTAAAGTCTATCTAAATACACCAGGGGGCATTAAGACTGGTTGGTTGGTTAATAGGGTTTAAAGTCTATCTACTACACCAGGGTCATTAAGGCTGGTTGGTTGGTTAATGGGGTTTAAAGTCTATCTACTACACCAGGGTCATTAAGACTGGTTGGTTGGTTAATGAGGTTTAAAGTCTACTACACCAGGGTCATTAAGACTGGTTGGTTGGTTAATGGGGTTTAAAGTCTATCTACTACACCAGGGTCATTAAGACTGGTTGGTTTGTTAATGGGGTTTAAAGTCTATCTACTACACCAGGGTCATTAAGACTGGTTGGTTGGTTAATGGGGTTTAAAGTCTATCTACTACACCAGGGTCATTAAGACTGGTTGGTTGGTTAATGGGGTTTAAAGTCTATCAACTACACCAGGGTCATTAAGACTGGTTGGTTGGTTAATGGGGTTTAAAGTCTATCTACTACACCAGGGTCATTAAGACTGGTTGGTTGGTTAATGGGGTTTAAGTCTATCTACTACACCAGGGTCATTAAGACTGGTTGGTTGGTTAATGGGGTTTAAAATCTATCTACTACACCAGGGTCATTAAGACTGGTTGGTTGGTTAATGGGGTTTAAAGTCTATTACTACACCAGGGTCATTAAGGCTGGTTGGTTGGTTAATGGGGTTTAAAGTCTATCTACTTTCACCAGGGTCATTAAGATGGTTGGTTTGTTAATGGGGTGTTTAAAAGTCTATCTACTACACAGGGTCATTAAGACTGGTTGGTTGGTTAATGGGGTTTAAAGTCTATCTACTACACCAGGGTCATTAAGACTGGTTGGTTGGTTAATAGGGTTTAAAGTCTATCTACTACACCAGGGTCATTAAGGCTGGTTGGTTGGTTAATGGGGTTTAAAGTCTATCTACTACACCAGGGTCATTAAGACTGGTTGGTTGGTTAATGAGGTTTAAAGTCTACTACACCAGGGTCATTAAGGGCTGGTTGGTTGGTTAATGGGGTTTAAAGTCTATCTACTACACAGGGTCATTAAGACTGGTTGGTTTGTTAATGGGGTTTAAAGTCTATCTACTACACCAGGGTCATTAAGACTGGTTGGTTGGTTAATGGGGTTTAAAGTCTACTACACCAGGGTCATTAAGACTGGTTGGTTGGTTAATGGGGTTTAAAGTCTATCTACTACACCAGGGCCATTAAGACTGGTTGGTTGGTTAATGGGGTTTAAAGTCTATCTACTACACCAGGGTCATTAAGGCTGGTTGGTTGGTTAATGGGGTTTAAAGTCTATCTACTACACCAGGGTCATTAAGACTGGTTGGTTGGTTAATGGGGTTTAAAGTCTATCTACTACACAAGGGTCATTAAGGCTGCAGGTCACCTGGTCACCACCAGTCAAGAATACTTTAATACCTAAAATACTGATTAATTTAAACTACCAGTGTATATACACTGAGATATACATCTCCCAGTGTATATACACTGAGATATACACCACTCAGTGTATATACACTGTGATATACACCTCTCAGTGTATATACACTGAGATATACACCTCTCAGTGTATATACACTGAGATATACACTCTCAGTGTATATACACTGAGATATACACCTCTCAGTGTATATACACTGAGATATACACTCTCAGTGTATATACACTGAGATATACACCTCTCAGTGTATATACACTGAGATATACACCTCTCAGTGTATATACACTGAGATTTTACACCCCTCAGTGTATATACACTGAGATATACACCTCTCAGTGTATATACACTGAGATATACACCTCTCAGTGTATATACACTGAGATATACACCTCTCAGTGTATATACACTGAGATATACACCCCTCAGTGTTATTTCACTGAGATATACACCCCCACAGTGTATATACACTGAGATATTTCACCTCTCAGTGTATATTACACTGAGATATACACCTCTCAGTGTATATACACTGAGATATACACCTCTCAGTGTATATACACTGAGATATACACCTCTCAGTGTATATACACTGGTTATACACCCCTCAGTGTATTTACTACTGAGATATACACCTCTCAGTGTATATACACTGAGATATACACCTCTCAGTGTATATACACTGAGATATACACCTCTCAGTGTATATACACTGAGATATACACCTCTCAGTGTATATACACTGAGATATACACCTCTCAGTGTGTAAGACATAAAGGAGACAAATAATACTGACCACAGACAGGAAGGTCACCAGACCAGACACCATCACTACCACAGCTTAGCACTGATGACCTGTTAATAACAATAGAGTACAATATATATAGTGTTATATAGTGATATATAGTGTTATACAACAATATAGCAACAATAACAGATGATGTCAGAGGTTTTTTATACATGTCAACTGTAATTAATGTATCCTTGACCCTGGAGGGAGGGAGGGAGAGGGAAGGAAGGAGGGAAGAAGGGAGGGAAGGAAGGTGGAAAGAAGGGAGGGAAGGAAGGAGGGAAGAAGGGAGGGAAGGAAGGTGGAAAGAAGGGAGGGGACGAAGGTGGAAAGAAGGGAGGGAAGGAATGAGGGAAGAAGGGAGAGAGGGAAGAAAGGAGGGAGATATATGACAAGAGTGAAGAACATTGTTCCACAAGGTACACTTCTGTCTCCCTTAGTGTTCGTTATTATTCTCTGACATAAATGGTTCAGTAGATCCCTGGTTGTCTTCCAGACCCCTGGCTGTCTTCAAGACCCCTGGTTGTCTTCAAAACCCCTGGTTGTCTTCAAAACCCCTGGTTGTCTTCAAGACCCCTGGTTGTCTTCAGGACTCCTGGTTGTCTTCAAGACCCCTGGTTGTCTTCAAGACCCCTGGTTGTCTTCAGACCCCTGTTGTCTTCAAGACTCCTGGTTGTCTTCAAGACTCCTGGTTGTCTTCAAGACCCCTGGTTGTCTTCAAGACCCCTGGTTGTCTTCAAGACTCCTGGTTGTCTTCAAGACTCCTGGTTGTCTTCAAGACTCCTGGTTGTCTTCAAGACTCCTGGTTGTCGTCAAGACTCCTGGTTGTCTTCAAGACTCCTGGTTGTCTTCAAGACTCCTGGTTGTCTTCAAGACTCCTGGTTGTCTTCAAGACCCCTGGTTGTCTTCAAGACTCCTGGTTGTCTTCAAGACTCCTGGTTGTCTTCAAGACCCCTGGTTGTCTTCAAGATCCCTGGTTGTCTTCAAGACTCCTGGTTGTCTTCAAGACCCCTGGTTGTCTTCAAGACCCCTGGTTGTCCTCAAGACCCCTGGCTGTCGTCAAGACCCCTGGTTGTCTTCAAGATCCCTGGTTGTCTTCAAGACTCCTGGTTGTCTTCAAGATCCCTGGTTGTCTTCAAGACTCCTGGTTGTCTTCAAGACCCCTGGTTGTCTTCAAGATCCCTGGTTGTCTTCAAGATCCCTGGTTGTCTTCAAGACCCCTGGTTGTCTTCAAGACCCCTGGTTGTCTTCAAGACCCCTGGTTGTCTTCAAAACCCCTGGTTGTCTTCAAGACCCCTGGTTGTCTTCAAGATCCCTGGTTGTCTTCAAGACTCCTGGTTGTCTTCAAGACCCCTGGTTGTCTTCAAGACCCCTGGTTGTCTTCAAGACCCCTGGTTGTCTTCAAGACCCTGGTTGTCTTCAAGACTCCTGGTTGTCTTCAAGACTCCTGGTTGTCTTCAAGACCCCTGGTTGTCTTCAAGACCCCTGGTTGTCTTCAAGACCCCTGGTTGTCTTCAAGACTCCTGGTTGTCTTCAAGACTCCTGGTTGTCTTCAAGACTCCTGGTTGTCTTCAAGACTCCTGGTTGTCTTCAAGCCTCCTGGTTGTCTTCAAGACTCCTGGTTGTCTTCAAGACTCCTGGTTGTCTTCAAGACTCCTGGTTGTCTTCAAGACTCCTGGTTGTCTTCAAGACTCCTGGTTGTCTTCAAGACCCCTGGTTGTCTTCAAGACTCCTGGTTGTCTTCAAGACCCCTGGTTGTCTTCAAGATCCCTGGTTGTCTTCAAGACTCCTGGTTGTCTTCAAGACCCCTGGTTGTCTTCAAGACCCCTGGTTGTCTTCAAGACCCCTGGCTGTCGTCAAGACCCCTGGTTGTCTTCAAGCTCCCTGGTTGTCTTCAAGACTCCTGGTTGTCTTCAAGATCCCTGGTTGTCTTCAGACTCCTGGTTGTCTTCAAGACCCCTGGTTGTCTTCAAGATCCCTGGTTGTCTTCAAGATCCCTGGTTGTCTTCAAGACCCCTGGTTGTCTTCAAGACCCCTGGTTGTCTTCAAGACCCCTGGTTGTCTTCAAAACCCCTGGTTGTCTTCAAGACCCCTGGTTGTCTTCAAGATCCCTGGTTGTCTTCAAGACTCCTGGTTGTCTTCAAGACCCCTGGTTGTCTTCAAGACCCCTGGTTGTCTTCAAGACCCCTGGTTGTCTTCAAGATCCCTTGTTGTCTTCAAGATCCCTGGTTGTCTTCAAGACCCCTGGTTGTCTTCAAGACCCCTGGTTGTCTTCAAGACCCCTGGTTGTCTTCAAGACCCCTGGTTGTCTTCAAGACCCCTGGTTGTCTTCAAGATCCCTGGTTGTCTTCAAGACCCCTGGTTGTCTTCAAGAACCCTGGTTGTCTTCATGATCCCTGGTTGTTTTCAAGACCCCTGGTTGTCTTCAAGACTCCTGGTTGTCTTCAAGACCCCTGGTTGTCTTCAAGATACCTGGTTGTCTTCAAGACTCCTGTTGTCTTCAAGACCCCTGTTGTCTTCAAGACCCCTGGTTGTCTTCAAGACCCCTGGTTGTCTTCAAGACTCCTGGTTGTCTTCAAGACCCCTGGTTGTCTTCAAGACTCCTGGTTGTCTTCAAGACCCCTGGTTGTCTTCAAGACCCCTGGTTGTCTTCAAGACCCCTGGTTGTCTTCAAGATCCCTGGTTGTCTTCAAGACCCTGGTTGTCTTCAAGATCCCTGGTTGTCTTCAGACCCCTGGTTGTCTTCAAGACCCCTGGTTGTCTTCAAGACCCCTGGTTGTCTTCAAGACTCCTGGTTGTCTTCAAGACCCTGGTTGTCTTCAAGACTCCTGGTTGTCTTCAAGACCCCTGGTTGTCTTCAAGATCCCTGGTTGTCTTCAAGACTCCTGGTTGTCTTCAAGACCCCTGGTTGTCTTTAAGACCCCTGGTTGTCTTCAAGACCCCTGGTTGTCTTCAAGACCCCTGGTTGTCTTCAAGACCCCTGGTTCTCTTCAAGACCCCTGGTTGTCTTCAAGACCCCTGGTTGTCTTCAAGATCCCTGGTTGTCTTCAAGATCCCTGGTTGTCTTCAAGACCCCTGGTTGTCTTCAAGATCCCTGGTTGTCTTCAAGACCCCTGGTTGTCTTCAAGACCCCTGGTTGTCTTCAAGATCCCTGGTTGTCTTCAAGACTCCTGGTTGTCTTCAAGACCCCTGGTTGTCTTCAAGACCCCTGGTTGTCTTCAAGACCCCTGGTTGTCTTCAAGACTCCTGGTTGTCTTCAAGACTCCTGGTTGTCTTCAAGACCCCTGGTTGTCTTCAAGACCCTGGTTGTCTTCAAGACCCCTGGTTGTCTTCAAGACCCCTGGTTGTCTTCAAGACTCCTGGTTGTCTTCAAGACTCCTGGTTGTCTTCAAGACTCCTGGTTGTCTTCAAGACCCCTGGTTGTCGTCAAGACTCCTGGTTGTCTTCAAGACCCCTGGTTGTCTTCAAGACTCCTGGTTGTCTTCAAGACTCCTGGTTGTCTTCAAGACCCCTGGTTGTCTTCAAGACTCCTGGTTGTCTTCAAGACCCCTGGTTGTCTTCAAGACTCCTGGTTGTCTTCAAGACCCCTGGTTGTCTTCAAGATCCCTGGTTGTCTTCAAGACTCCTGGTTGTCTTCAAGACCCCTGGTTGTCTTCAAGACCCCTGGTTGTCTTCAAGACCCCTGGCTGTCTTCAAGACCCCTGGTTGTCTTCAAGATCCCTGGTTGTCTTCAAGACTCCTGGTTGTCTTCAAGATCCCTGGTTGTCTTCAAGACTCCTGGTTGTCTTCAAGACCCCTGGTTGTCTTCAAGATCCCTGGTTGTCTTCAAGATCCCTGGTTGTCTTCAAGACCCCTGGTTGTCTTCAAGACCCCTGGTTGTCTTCAGAACCCCTGGTTGTCTTCAAGACCCCTGGTTGTCTTCAAGACCCCTGGTTGTCTTCAAGATCCCTGGTTGTCTTCAAGACTCCTGGTTGTCTTCAAGACCCCTGGTTGTCTTCAAGACCCCTGGTTGTCTTCAAGACCCCTGGTTGTCTTCAAGATCCCTTGTTGTCTTCAAGATCCCTGGTTGTCTTCAAGACCCCTGGTTGTCTTCAAGACCCCTGGTTGTCTTCAAGACCCCTGGTTGTCTTCAAGACCCCTGGTTGTCTTCAAGACCCCTGGTTGTCTCCAAGATCCCTGGTTGTCTTCAAGATCCCTGGTTGTCTTCAAGACCCCTGGTTGTCTTCAAGAACCCTGGTTGTCTTCATGATCCCTGGTTGTCTTCAAGACCCCTGGTTGTCTTCAAGACCCCTGGTTGTCTTCAAGACCACTGGTTGTCTTCAAGATACCTGGTTGTCTTCAAGACTCCTGGTTGTCTTCAAGACCCCTGGTTGTCTTCAAGACCCCTGGTTGTCTTCAAGACCCCTGGTTGTCTTCAAGACTCCTGGTTGTCTTCAAGACCCCTGGTTGTCTTCAAGACTCCTGGTTGTCTTCAAGACCCCTGGTTGTCTTCAAGACCCCTGGTTGTCTTCAAGACCCCTGGTTGTCTTCAAGATCCCTGGTTGTCTTCAAGACCCCTGGTTGTCTTCAAGATCCCTGGTTGTCTTCAAGACTCCTGGTTGTCTTCAAGACCCCTGGTTGTCTTCAAGACCCCTGGTTGTCTTCAAGACCCCTGGTTGTCTTCAAGACCCCTGGTTGTCTTCAAGACTCCTGGTTGTCTTCAAGACCCCTGGTTGTCTTCAAGACTCCTGGTTGTCTTCAAGACCCCTGGTTGTCTTTAAGACCCCTGGTTGTCTTCAAGACCCCTGGTTGTCTTCAAGACCCCTGGTTGTCTTCAAAACCCCTGGTTGTCTTCAAGACCCCTGGTTGTCTTCAAGATCCCTGGTTGTCTTCAAGATCCCTGGTTGTCTTCAAGACCCCTGGTTGTCTTCAAGATCCCTGGTTGTCTTCAAGATCCCTGGTTGTCTTCAAGACCCCTGGTTGTCTTCAAGACCTCTGGTTGTCTTCAAGACCCCTGGTTGTCTTCAAGACCCCTGGTTGTCTTCAAGACCCCTGGTTGTCTTCAAGACTCCTGGTTGTCTTCAAGACCCCTGGTTGTCTTCAAGATCCCTGGTTGTCTTCAAGACCCGTGGTTGTCTTCAAGACCCCTGGTTGTCTTCAACACCCCTGGTTGTCTTCAAGACCCCTGGTTGTCTTCAAGACCCCTGGTTGTCTTCAAGACTCCTGGTTGTCTTCAAGACCTCTGGTTGTCTTCAAGATCCCTGGTTGTCTTCAAGATCCCTGGTTGTCTTCAAGACCCCTGGTTGTCTTCAAGACCCCTGGTTGTCTTCAAGATCCCTGGTTGTCTTCAAGACCCCTGGTTGTCTTCAAGATCCCTGGTTGTCTTCAAGACCCCTGGTTGTCTTCAAGACTCCTGGTTGTCTTCAAGATCCCTGGTTGTCTTCAAGACCCTGGTTGTCTTCAAGACCCCTGGTTGTCTTCAAGATCCCTGGTTGTCTTCAAGACCCCTGGTTGTCTTCAAGACCCCTGGTTGTCTTCAAGATCCCTGGTTGTCTTCAAGACTCCTGGTTGTCTTCAAGATCCCTGGCTGTCTTCAAGACTCCTGGTTGTCTTCAAGATCCCTGGTTGTCTTCAAGACCCCTGGTTGTCTTCAAGACCCCTGGTTGTCTTCAAGACCCCTGGCTGTCTTCAAGACCCCTGGTTGTCTTCAAGACTCCTGGTTGTCTTCAAGATCCCTGGTTGTCTTCAAGACCCCTGGTTGTCTTCAAGACCCCTGGCTGTCTTCAAGATCCCTGGTTGTCTTCAAGACCCCTGGTTGTCTTCAAGACCCCTGGTTGTCTTCAAAGACCCCTGGTTGTCTTCAAGATCCCTGGTTGTCTTCAAGACCCCTGGTTGTCTTCAAGACCTCTGGTTGTCTTCAAGACCCCTGGTTGTCTTCAAGACCCCTGGTTGTCTTCAAGACCCCTGGTTGTCCTCAAGACTCCTGGTTGTCTTCAAGACTCCTGGTTGTCTTCAAGACCCCTGGTTGTCTTCAAGACTCCTGGTTGTCTTCAAGACCCCTGGTTGTCTTCAAGACTCCTGGTTGTCTTCAAGACCCCTGGTTGTCTTCAAGACTCCTGGTTGTCTTCAAGACCCCTGGTTGTCTTCAAGACTCCTGGTTGTCTTCAAGACTCCTGGTTGTCATCAAGATCCCTGGTTGTCTTCAAGACTCCTGGTTGTCTTCAAGACCTCTGGTTGTCTTCAAAACCCCTGGTTGTCTTCAAGACCCCTGGTTGTCTTCAAGACCCCTGGTTGTCTTCAAGACCCCTAGTTGTCTTCAAGACCCCTTGTTGTTCTCAAGATCCCTGGTTGTCTTCAAGACCCCAGGTCGTCTTCAAGACCTATGGTTGTCTTCAAGACCCCTGGTTGTCTTCAAGACCCCTGGTTGTCTTCAAGACCCCTGGATGTCTTCAAGACCCCTGGTTGTCTTCAAGACCTCTGGTTGTCTTCAAGACCTCTGGTTGTCTTCAAGACCTCTGGTTGTCTTCAAGACCCCTGGTTGTCTTCAAGATCCCTGGTTGTCTTCAAGATCCCTGGTTGTCTTCAAGACCCCTGGTTGTCTTCAAGACACCTGGTTGTCTTCAAGACCCCTGGTTGTCTTCAAGACCCCTGGTTGTCTTCAAAACCCCTGGTTGTCTTCAAGACCCCTGGTTGTCTTCAAGGCCCCTGATTGCCTTCAAGATCCCTGGTTGTCTTCAAGACCCCTGGTTGTCTTCAAGACCCCTAGTTTTGTCTTCAAGACCCTGGTTGTCTTCAAGGACCCCTGGTTGTCTTCAAGACCCCTGGTTGTCTTCAAGACCCCTGGTTGTCTTCAAGACCCCTGGTTGTCTTCAAGACCCCTGGTTGTCTTCAAGACCCCTGGTTGTCTTCAAGACCCGTGGTTGTCTTCAAGACTCCTGGTTGTCTTCAAGACTCCTGGTTGTCTTCAAGACCCCTGGTTGTCTTCAAGACCCCTGGTTGTCTTCAAGACCCCTGGTTGTCTTCAAGACCCTGGTTGTCTTCAAGACCCCTGGTTGTCTTCAAGACCCCTGGTTGTCTTCAAGACTCCTGGTTGTCTTCAAGATCCCTGGTTGTCTTCAAGACCCCTGGTTGTCTTCAAGACCCCTGGTTGTCTTCAAGACTCCTGGTTGTCTTCAAGATCCCTGGTTGTCTTCAAGACCCCTGGTTGTCTTCAAGACCCCTGGTTGTCTTCAAGACTCCTGGTTGTCTTCAAGACCCCTGGTTGTCTTCAAGATCCCTGGTTGTCTTCAAGACCCCTGCTACCCATTAACACACAACTGCGTGAAGAGGAACCTTTATGAGCAGTGTGGATAATAGCAGTGCAGCGCAGACACTGTCAAGGTCTCAACTGTCAGGCAGACAGGCAGTTATTACAGGCGCAGGTAAAGCTATGAGATGTCTGCCAGTACGATGCTGCATCTGACGGATGATCTGGGGGATGCTGGAGGCTGGGATGATGTGATGGGTGATAGATGGTTGGGTGATTATCAAGACGGGTGAGAATCATCCAGCAAGCCATCCTACCTGGAGACCCTCCAGGGAACGAGGGTGCAGGGATTCGAACCCATGGCACGGAGGTCCTAAAGTAGGCCAGTGCGTTAACTACTGTATCAGTGTGTGACTATCTGACAGTGACTGAATAACAACACAACTCACTATAACACCCAGGAACCTGGACAGGCTGGACACCTGGTCCAGCAACTGGCTTCTCGAATTCAACCCCACCAAATGCAAAGTCATGAAGATTAGGGAAGGGCAAAGAAGACCGCAGACGGAGTATAGGCTCAACGAGAAAGATCTTGGGGTGACCATAACACCGAGCATGTCTCCGGAGGCACACATCAACCAGATAACTGCTGCAGCATATGGGCGCCTGGCAAACCTGAGAACAGCATTCCGATACCTTAGTAAGGAATCGTTCAAGACACTGTACACCGTGTACGTCAGGTCCATACTGGAGTATGCAGCACCTGTTTGGAACCCGCACTTGATAAAGCACGTCAAGAAGTTAGAGAAAGTACAAAGGTTTGCAACAAGGCTAGTCCCAGAGCTCAAGGGAATGTCGTACGAGGAAAGGTTAAGGGAAATCGGACTGACGACACTGGAGGACAGAAGGGTCAGGGAAGACATGATAACGACATACAAGATACTGCGGGGAATAGACAAGGTGGACAGAGATAGGATGTTCCAGAGAGGGGACACAGGGACAAGGGGTCACAACTGGAAGCTGAAGACTCAGACGAGTCACAGGGACGTTAGGAAGTATTTCTTCAGTCATAGAGTTGTCAGCAAGTGGAATAGCAAGTGAAGTAGTGGAGGCAGGAACCATACATAGCTTTAAGATAAGGTATGACAACTCACCCAAAGATCTTATAGCCAGCATCACAGGTGTAAGTAGCCAGACTGCCAGGCTGTCTATCGCTGACAGTCACTTTGCTGTTGATGGGCACTGCAGGGTGGGGGCACTCTAAACCTGTAGGGGCACAGACACAGATTAGTTAGGTCTACAAACTAGACTGGCACAGATAGGTCACGATTAGTTGAGTCTACAAACAAGGTTGTGAGAGATAATTTGCATATGGACATATATTTGAAGTTTGTTATGTGATAGATAGTGATATGATCTATCTATCTATCCATCTATGTAGACCAAGAGAGGTATTACCCATCTATCTATTTGTGTATCCAACTATCTAAGTATCTATCTAGATCAAGGGAGGTATGACGAATCTATTTATCTATCTATATATCTAAGTATTTATCTATTTATTTATACAATTACGTATATATCTAAGTGTATATCTGTCTTAGTATATATCTAGATAGATAGATAGACAGAGAGAAGGTGGGTGAGGGAGTGTAATAGGGAGAATAGGGAGCAGAGGGAGAGACAGGAAGAGAGGTAGACAGGAAGGAGGGAGGTGTCCGTGTGTACGTAGGTGCGTGTACACACGCCTACGTACACACACACACACGTACACAAAACCTGTCCCCCTTGACAGTTACTTGTATGACCAGGTGAGTCAGGGAGGGTAGGGAGGGCAGGGAGAGAGAGAGAGAGAGAGAGAGAGAGAGAGAGAGAGAGAGAGAGAGAGAGAGAGAGAGAGAGAGAGAGAGAGAGACTATATAAACTTTGTATATACATGGTATATTTACATTATATATACCATATATAATAAAGGCCTCCATCTCTCTCTCTCTCTCTCTCTCTCTCTCTCTCTCTCTCTCTCTCTCTCTCTCAACGGGTCCGTGGCACGCAAGAGCTCTCTGTCCTCAAGGAATTTACATTCCCCTATATGTACGTGATGTACTTGGTACGAGACTGTACGTGATCTTACTTCCAGGGAGACATTACGTACGTGATCTTACTTCCAGGGAGACATTACGTACGTGATCTTACTTCCAGGGAGACATTACGTACGTGATCTTACTTCCAGGGAGACATTACGTACGTGATCTTACTTCCAGGGAGACATTACGTACGTGATCTTACTTCCAGGGAGACATTACGTACGTGATCTTACTTCCAGGGAGACATTACGTACGTGATCTTACTTCCAGGGAGACATTACGTACGTGATCTTACTTCCAGGGAGACATTACGTACGTGATCTTACTTCCAGGGAGACATTACGTACGTGATCTTACTTCCAGGGAGACATTACGTACGTGATCTTACTTCCAGGGAGACATTACGTACGTGATCTTACTTCCAGGGAGACATTACGTACGTGATCTTACTTCCAGGGAGACATTACGTACGTGATCTTACTTCCAGGGAGACATTACGTACGTGATCTTACTTCCAGGGAGACATTACGTACGTGATCTTACTTCCAGGGAGACATTACGTACGTGATCTTACTTCCAGGGAGACATTACGTACGTGATCTTACTTCCAGGGAGACATTACGTACGTGATCTTACTTCCAGGGAGACATTACGTACGTGATCTTACTTCCAGGGAGACATTACGTACGTGATCTTACTTCCAGGGAGACATTACGTACGTGATCTTACTTCCAGGGAGACATTACGTACGTGATCTTACTTCCAGGGAGACATTACGTACGTGATCTTACTTCCAGGGAGACATTACGTACGTGATCTTACTTCCAGGGAGACATTACGTACGTGATCTTACTTCCAGGGAGACATTACGTACGTGATCTTACTTCCAGGGAGACATTACGTACGTGATCTTACTTCCAGGGAGACATTACGTACGTGATCTTACTTCCAGGGAGACATTACGTACGTGATCTTACTTCCAGGGAGACATTACGTACGTGATCTTACTTCCAGGGAGACATTACGTACGTGATCTTACTTCCAGGGAGACATTACGTACGTGATCTTACTTCCAGGGAGACATTACGTACGTGATCTTACTTCCAGGGAGACATTACGTACGTGATCTTACTTCCAGGGAGACATTACGTACGTGATCTTACTTCCAGGGAGACATTACGTACGTGATCTTACTTCCAGGGAGACATTACGTACGTGATCTTACTTCCAGGGAGACATTACGTACGTGATCTTACTTCCAGGGAGACATTACGTACGTGATCTTACTTCCAGGGAGACATTACGTACGTGATCTTACTTCCAGGGAGACATTACGTACGTGATCTTACTTCCAGGGAGACATTACGTACGTGATCTTACTTCCAGGGAGACATTACGTACGTGATCTTACTTCCAGGGAGACATTACGTACGTGATCTTACTTCCAGGGAGACATTACGTACGTGATCTTACTTCCAGGGAGACATTACGTACGTGATCTTACTTCCAGGGAGACATTACGTACGTGATCTTACTTCCAGGGAGACATTACGTACGTGATCTTACTTCCAGGGAGACATTACGTACGTGATCTTCCAGGGAGACATTACGTACGTGATCTTACTGGGAGAAAGTGAGACTCCGTTAATGTATGGGAATAAATTCAATTGTATTCCCTGTTCTCTTTCTATCTCCCCTTTCTCTCTCTCTCTCTCTCTCTCTCTCTCTCTCTCTCTCTCTCTCTCTCTCTCTCTCTCTCTCTCTCTCTCTCTCTCTCTCTCTCTCTCTCTCTCTTCTCTTCTCTCTCTCTCTCTCTCTCTTCTGTCTCCTCTCTGTCTCTCTCTCTCTCTCTCTCTTCTCTCTCGTCTCTCTCTCCTTCTCTTCTCTCCTCTTCTCTCTCTCGTCTCCTCTCTCTCTCTCTCTGTCTCTCTCTCTCTTTCTCTCTCTCTCTCTCTCTCTGTCTTCTCTCTCTTTCCTCTCTCTCTCTCTTCTCTCTCTCTCTTGTCTCTCTGTCTCTCTCTGTCTCTGTCTCTGTTCTCTTTTCTTCTCTCTCTTCTCTCTCTCTCTCCACTCTCTCTCTCTCTCTCTGCTCTCTTCTCTCTCTCTCTCTCCCACTCTTAAAGTCACAGGTTTAAAGACTTTCACTCTCCATTTAACTCCTCTTTCCCGAGGTCGCTCACCTCTCACTGCCTACCTGCCAGGTACTACAGGCTCTACAGGTACTACGGGGCTCTCAGGCACTACAAGGCACTATCAAGCACTACAAAGTACTACAAGGCACTACAAGGCACTACAAGGCTCTGCAAGGCACTACAAGGCCCTACAAGGCACTACAAACTCTACAAGTAACTAAAAAGCTCTGCAAGGCTATACAAGTCATACAAAGCTGTGTAAGTCACTACAAAGCTCTGCAATTCTCTACAAGTTACTACAATGTTCTTCAAGGCTCTATAAAACTCTACGACATACAAGGCTGTAAGTACAAGTCACTACAAAGCTCTACAAGTCACTACAATGTTCTTCAAGGCTCTATAAAACTCTACATGACATACAAGGCTGTAAATACAAGTCACTACAAAGCTCTACAAGTCACTACAATGTTCTTCAAGGCTCTATAAAACTCTACATGACATACAAGGCTGTAAGTACAAGTCACTACAAAGCTCTACAAGTCACTACAATGTTCTTCAAGGCTCTATAAAACTCTACAAGACATACAAGACTGTAAGTACAAGTCACAACAGCCAAGACAAAGCTCTGCAACGCTCTACGCAGCTCTACAAGGCTCTGCAGGCTCGATACACCGTACAATAAGTCATCATGCAGTCGGTGCTCAAGTCAAGCTCTTCTGAAAAGTGAAAGTTGTCATGTGACCCTCACTTGTGCTGTCTGCTCATGTCTCACGTCACTTCTCATGTCTACTGACGTGTATTGACTTCCTTACATCATGTAATACGTTGTATTATACAGATGTTTTACGTATTTTGGTATTTTAATGATTTAATACGGAATTTGGCGGTAAAACTGGTGGATTTGTTTGGGTTCGTGTAAGAATCCGGATTTTTATCTGGATTCAATACGGATTCATGACGCAGCTTCCACCAATTTATATTATATTTTTTATACATTTTCTCTGTTATCTAATTAGTAAAAAAATCGAAATATATGCCTGTCGGTTTAGTAACATATATATACACTATTCCAGTCACTCAAAAAATGTATATAATCCCCAAAAAATTAAAAAAAAGAAAATAATAAAAAAATTCCAGGAGTACCCGGCAACATTTTTTTTGTGACGTCACGCGGCTCCACCAATCACAGCCGTCCTCCTCCACACAAACCCCCATAACACAACTTTCTACCATAATTATCAATTTTCCTTGCAAACGACCTTATTTAATTACCCTACCGAATCACAAATTAACGTAATTATAGAGGTTTGCGACGGAAGCCGTACAAATGGCGTCGCGTTCGTAATAGAGGGGTTGAAAATGATTTCCGTAATTGCGAAATACTGAAGTTCACAGTAGCGGGAAAACTGTCTTCACGTCATTAAGAGAAAAATAACAACTTTAATGAGATAATTAACATGGCAGGACAAAAACGGGAGAGACAGAGAGGCAGAGACAGAGAGGCAGAGACAGAGACAGACAGACAGACAGAGAGGCAGAGACACAGACAGAGAAAAGAGCAATAATCAGCTGACTAATATCAACAATAATCAGCTGACTAATATCAACAATAATCAGCTGACTAATATCAACAATAATCAGCTGACTAATATCAACAATAATCAGCTGACTAATATCAACAATAATCAGCTGACTAATATCAACAATAATCAGCTGACTAATATCAACAATAATCAGCTGACTAATATCAACAATAATCAGCTGACTAATATCAACAATAATCAGCTGACTAATATCAACAATAATCAGCTGACTAATATCAACAATAATCAGCTGACTAATATCAACAATAATCAGCTGACTAATATCAACAATAATCAGCTGACTAATATCAACAATAATCAGCTGACTAATATCAACAATAATCAGCTGACTAATATCAACAATAATCAGCTGACTAATATCAACAATAATCAGCTGACTAATATCAACAATAATCAGCTGACTAATATCAACAATAATCAGCTGACTAATATCAACATAATCAGCTGACTAATATCAACAATAATCAGCTGACTAATATCAACAATAATCAGCTGACTAATATCAACAATAATCAGCTGACTAATATCAACAATAATCAGCTGACTAATATCAACAATAATCAGCTGACTAATATCAACAATAATCAGCTGACTAATATCAACAATAATCAGCTGACTAATATCAACAATAATCAGCTGACT